TATAATATTAAGAATTATTTTTATATAATAATATTCTATATGGATAAATTAATTATTTAAAATATAATTAATGATAACAATAAATATTTATAAAAATGTATATTTTATTATAATATTTCTTTTTATTTATTATTATTTATAATAATTTTAAATAATTTTAAAATATCTTATTTAAAAATTAATATTTTTATAATAAATTTTATATTATTTTCTAAGTAAAAATTAAAAAATAAATAATTAATTAGTGATATTTTAAAGATAAATATATAATAAATTATTATGCAAAAAATAAAATTTTAAACTTATATATCTTGATCTCAAAAATATAAAAATATAATTATTTAATAAGTTTTAATAAGATAAATTCAACAAAATAAATTTTAATTTTTTATAATTATTAGATAATAAATTATTTTAAAAAATTTAAAAATACTATTATTAGATTAACAAATCTAATAAACTTTATTTTATTTTTTTTTATGATTACTAGATATTAAAATATTATAATTTTTCTATAATGTTTTATTATTAATTTTATATCTACTTTTTAAGGGATAAGTTGATTTAATTAATAATATAAAATCTAATTTAAATATTTTTACTAATATGTTTTTTAGATAAAATCAAATATAATAGGTAAAAAATAGAATTTTTAACAATAAAATTTTTTAAGTTCTTTGATTAATTATTAAAAATGAAAAACTGAAGAGTGTGACATGTCATAATAAATTCTGAATTTAATCTTAACGAATCTTAATTTATGTTAAATCTAATTCTAACAAATTCTAATTATATAACTAGATAAAATTTTACATATAATCACCTAGGTAAAAATTAGTTTTAATCTAATTTAAAATATGTTTTTTTATAAATTTTCAAATTTTAAATATTATTTAAAGATTTTTGATATTATATATATATATATAATTATTATCTTTTATTTTATTTTATTTTTTAGTTATTTAAATTTAAAATTAGTTAAAAAGTCAGCTACATTTATAAAACTAATAAAAATTATTCTTTTATTTTTTAATATTTTAAATTTAACATAAGTCTAAATATTAATCATATTAAGTAAATTAACTATTTTTATAAATCTTTAGAAATAGATACTAATATTATTATTTAGTAACTATTAAAAAGAAAATTAAGATAATTAATCTGTTATTAATAAACTTTTTTGATAATTAAATTAAAATCTTTAAACTCTAATAAGAATTTATATATTATTATAATTAAAAATAATAATATATTAATTATTTATAATTATAGATGCCTGTCAAAACCTCCTTTAAATAATTTCATCATACCCTTTTTTATGTTTTTAATATAATTTTGACAGTTTCAGCTTTTATCATATCGAATGGATTTCGTCATATCCTTATTATGATTTTAATATAGTTTTGTCTAAGTTTTGATTATTATTAAGGTGTTTATCTCTCATCTATATTTATAATTTATAATTTTATTTAATTATGATTATCTAATATCTATTATTAATTATTAATTATCAAGATAAATCCCTTATAAATAATATAATACTTATTTATAATAAATAAATTCATTTTAAATTTAATTATTTTTATATCTAAATATTTTACAATAAAAAAAAAGAAAATTCTAAAAAAATTTTTTTGATTTATTATTAAATCTATATTTATTTTACTATAAAAATTATATTTAATTTATAAAGTAAAAATTTTTTTTAGTAATTTCTAATTTTTTTATTGTAAAATATTTATATATTAAATTATTTATTATTAAAATAATAAAATAATCTTATTTAGCTTATATAATATAAGTTATATTATTATAATAATAGATATTAACAAATTATTATTTTTTTTAAATTCATGATCTTTAATATTTAATATTATTATATTCTATGTAAAATTTTTATAATTATATGAAAATTATTTTTAATATTTATAATTAGTTTTTTATTAATTATTTTACTAAGTTATAATAATAATAAACTGATAAAATATTAAATTATCATGATGCTAAACTTATAAAAAATCAGGATATTAGAATATCAGACAGTTTTAATTATTTTTTATAAATATAAATTAAAAATCTTTAAATAACTTATTATTTATAATTACTTTTCTTATATTATATATATATATCTTAAAAACTTTTTTTATTTCTTTGTAATCAGTGTTGGAATTGAACTTTATTTAATTCTCAATCATAGACTAATGCACTTAGACTTAATGGAGATGTTCAGTCCATTTTTAATTCAAATGAACTATGATTATATAATTTTAACTAAATTATAATTTTATATTTATAATTCTAGCTAAATTTATAATGCTAACTTAACTTAAAAATTTGAATAATAATAAATTATTCTGCTTGAATGATCTATCGATAATAAATTTATTCAACTAGAATAATCTACTGATCTGACTTTAATTTTTCAGATAACAGTAAGCTTGAAATTAATATTACAAATATTTCAAATTTACCTTATTCTTATTAAAGATCAAAATTCTAAATGAAAATATCTAGATATTTATATTGAAAGTTTAAAGAAATCTAATTATTTGTCAAATTTTATATTAAGTAATAATAAGTAAATTTAATAAAATTCTAACAAATATCATGAACATATTACTAAAATTATATGTATATTTATAGTTGTTGAATGAAGTCTATAGTCTAATAATCCAAATTTTAATGAAATTAGAATGAACTAAGTCCATTAGTCTAATAGTCTAATGGTTTAAAAGTTTATTAGTCTAAAAGGCCAACACTATTTACAATATTTTACTTTATTATTTAAATATAATAATTTTTATTATTATAATTTTATTTACTTTTAATTCACAAATTTTTTTATTATTTTATTATTTAATTTTATTATTTATATAGTTTGATTAATTAGAATTTTAGTGATTAGTATTATTTAATTTAATATATTAATATTGTAAAATTATAGAATTTTAATATTAAAATAATATTGATTAATTGATATAATTAAATAAATTTAGCATCAATATTATTTCATTTTATAAAATTTATTTTTAAAATTATATTAATAAGTTTTGTAATAAATTAATCTTATAATTTATATTGAATTAATATTAAACTAAAATATAACTATAATAGAATCTTAACTAAGATAAAATTATCATTTTTACTTTTTTTTATATTTTTATTATAATTTGTATAGTTTATAATATTTATTATTATTTTTATTATTATATATATATAATAATAATTTATTATAATCTTAAATATTTTGGATTAAAATTAATTTAATTAATATTTAAAAAAACTTATTTTATATTTTAATATTATTAATGTGATAATTATAAAAATAAATTTATTAATATAATATAAAAAAATATATTTAATTATAAAAAAGTATTTAATATATTAAATGCTTTTTCTTAAATTTATAATTTTAATAAATATAACTTATAACTTTTTATAATATATTTTATTTTTAAATATTTAAGTAAATATAAGTAAATATTAAAAAAAAAGAATCAAATCAACATCTAAAAAATTTATTTTTTATCATAAATAAATACAGTCAACTCTTGTTATAACGAACTCTATGTTTTAGACCTCAATTTCGCTATAAGGCTATAGTGAAGATTTTAAGAGATCTGATTGGCCAATTCGTTATAACAAGAGTATTTTTATTATATTTGTTTAAAAAATTCATTATATCAAGAGTTCGCTATATCAAGAATTGACTGTATAGATTTAACTATTAAACATTTTTTACTTAATAAAAAAAGATAATTAATATAATAAAATATTATGCTATATTTTTGTAATATTGTATTTTTCTAAAAATAAGTAATATATATAAAATATGTATTAATTAGTATATGTGTGATAAATAATATAATATATAATATATGACTAATAAAAAATTACTATAAAGGAGTATGTTACATATTACTTATTTTCAAAAATATACAGTATATTTGTTATTCAATATATAGTTTAGCTATATAAGCATTTTATAATAGAAAGTAAAAACATTACCAAAAAATTTTTTACTTTATAAGTTAAATATTATTTTTTAATAAAATAAATTCAGATTTAATATTATCTTAAAAAAAATTTTTTTAGTAGTTTATTTCCTTTTTATTATAAAGTTTTTATTTAGCTATTTGTATTAAGAAAATATTATACCATTTTTTTTTTTATATAAAATCATATAATTAAATAATTTAAAAAGTCAGTTATTCAAAAAATGATCTTTAGATTTCATATTACATTTAGATTAAAAACTGTTTTTTTGTTTATTTTTATTATGTTCAATCCTTATTTATTTTTCTTAGTACTCATTCTATATATTTTTAAACTTTTTAATATTTAATAAATTATTTTATTATGATTGCAGATTATAACTTTAATTAAATATAGTTTCTAAATATTTATAAATTTTAAATAATTTTTTTTAAAAAAAAAAAATATTAATAAATTTAAAAGAATATTTCTAATAAAATAAATAAATATTCTTTTTGAAGTTTAAAATTTCTTTTTTTAAAAAAAAATTTAAAGGTATTTATTTATATATGAACATTAAATAATTTATATTTGATTATATAAAAAATGAATTTTAATTAATAAATAAATATATAATGTTTAAAGCTTGCTTATTTTCAGATAATAATTTTTATACTTTAAATCAATAAAATATTTAAATATTTAATTGTATAGATTTAAAAAAGTTTTGATATATTTTATCATTTTTTATAAGTTATAATATAATTTTACCTTTTATCAAATTTTATAGGTTATTAATATTTTAGCTTAATTGATTATCAAAAATAAGTTATATATATTAACGTTAAAAGTTTATTGATTAAAAACATTTAGAAAATCTCATCATACGATTGATTATCTTTGCTGCGGGAAATATCGAAAATTAAGTATAAAATAGTAGAATTTTGGTGCAATGGACAATCAATTTTTTTTTTTTCATAATCTCAAAAAGATTTGTTAAAGGAATATATTTCTTGTTCAAAACAATGGAAGTGCCAATTATTGGGAGATTAAATTACAGAGATTATCAGACATTAATCATCACTATTGTTTTTTTATTTTTTGAAAAATTACTTCGTGTTGTAACTTATTTATTACCTAATGCAGGAGTAAAATATTTTAGAGATGAAAGTCAACGGTATAGTTGTTCTAATTAACAATTTTTTTTTTTTTGAAAAAAAAATTAATGATTTATTGCTCACTTTACACCGATATATTTAATATAGATTATTTTCGATGATATATAAAGATGAAAGAACATTACCAGTGAAAATACTTCAACATGCGGAAAGTTTCCAAGAGTTAGCAAATTATTGGGGCTATCCAGTTGAAGAACATATAGTGAAAACAAAAGATAATTATATATTGGGAGTTCAAAGAATTCCTCATGGGAAACAACCATCTGCCACTTTTGCATTAAATCCAACTCAACAGCAAGACCCTAGTATAGAAACCATATTTAAGAATAATGGAATTTCATTATCAGCAATTAGAAAGGATCCGAATGAAATAAAGATAAAGAATAAAGCAAACTCTTCTGAATCATCGTCTCAAAAAAAAAAATACATTAAACCCGTTGTACTACTTTATCATGGATTGATGACTTGTAGTGAGCTTTGGATTTGTAATGTAGAATATGAAAATAGATTGGCCTGTTTATTAGCTGATGCAGGGTAAATAAAATAACAAGAGGTTGATTGAATGAACGAATTTTATATTTTTAATGCTTTTATATTTATTTTTCAGATACGATGTGTGGTTTGGTAATATTAGAGGTAATAAGTATTCAATGAAGCATACTAAATTTGATCCAAGTGAAAGACAATTTTGGGAATATTCGATGGATGAAATGGCTTTATACGATTTACCAGATACTATTGATGTAAGTATGATCATAGATTTCTTGATCGACTTTAAATTATTTTAAGCTTAATTTAGCTATTCGACAGTACATCTTGGAAGTAACGGGAGCACCTTCACTAGCATATATTGGATTTTCTCAAGGAACAGCTCAATGTTTTGCTGCACTATCAATTAATCCAACTTTAAACAATAAAGTAAACTTATTTATAGCGTTGGCCCCAGCGACAAGTCCAAAAGGTAAATAATTTCTTTTCATGCGTAAAATTTTTTTTTCATGAAATAATAATTAAAATCACATCTCTTGATAAAGGACTGAGAAATCCAGTTGTTGATGCGTTAATGAAATCATCACCAAATGTAATATATTTATTTTTCGGTCGTAAAGCGGTATTAGCAATGGCATTGTTCTGGCAAAATGTATTATCACCACCTATTTTTACTAAAATTATCGATTTGGCTCTAAGATTTTTATTTGGTTGGAATTGTAAAAATATCAGTGAAACACAAAAGGCTATTGGTTATTATCATTTATATAGTTATTCAAGTACCAAAAGTTTGGTTGTAAGTGTATCTAAATGTCTCATGAAATAATTTTTTTTTTTCTTAAAAAAAAAATAATCTTTCTCGACTAATTATTTCTCTCTTTCGATCATAGCACTGGTTTCAAATTATTGGTTCGAGAAAATTTCAAATGTTCAATGATTCGCCACCTTATTCTTACACTTCAACTTCATTAGGTTACTCTTGTCAAAAATTCCCTACGTTGCAAATTACTACACCTATAGCCATATTTTATGGTGGTAGAGATAGTTTAGGTGATATGAATATGTTATTAAAACAAATTCCCGCTCCTGTTCTTGTAAGAGAAGTCTTGGATTATGAACATTTAGGTAAGCGTTTATAATGGTAATTTTATGATTTAACTATCTTATTGATTCTTTTATTTAAATTGATTTTTGATTGCATTAATACTTTAGATTTTCTTTGGGCTACTGATGTACATCAAAAAATTTTTCCAGAGATATTTGATCTATTGCTACATTATAATGTACATGAAAATACCCATCATGATCATCATCAAGACGACGATGATGATATTATTGAACAAGATGAAGTTTGAATAATTCTCAATTCTTTAATCTTTTTAGTATTTATTTTGTAAATTTTGTAAGTAATTAGATTTTTGCAATCTTGTGGGATATACAGCATTTGCTAAATTAATATATAATTTACGACATGATAAAATTACAAATTTTTTTTCGACAAATGTAAAATTGCGACTATTTTTTTTTTATTGGACAGATTCGATTAATTCGAATTATTTCAGAACTCATTGTTTGGGAAGATTAAAAAGGATATGCGTAAGATAATAAACAGATAGCAATTAAGACAATTCATTTATTGCATATACAAATCACTAGGCGCATTTTCATTATACTTTCATTTTAGCTATGGATCCGTCACATCATTTAGTTTAATAGTTTAATCCAAATTAACATTTTACAATTGTCAATCCAAATTAGGAAAATGATGTGTTTTAAACGAATTAGGTTGAAATTAGGATTGGATTCACGTTTTATACTTAACTTAATTTGGATTAATATAATAAAGATATTATTTTACATTTTATGAAAATTAAATATATAAAACAAGTGAAAAATGATGAAAATATAATTTTTCAAAATTTTTTTCAAAATTTTTTTTCCTAAATTTTTTTCAAAATTCTTTTTCGCTATGTATTTACTTGAATTTCAAATCCAAATGATAGTTTTGAACCTTTATCAAATTTCTTTGTACGACGGCACTTTCAACATTTTATCAGAACTATTAATGATTGATGATATTTGATGATTTGTCTCAAGCAACGATCATCACTTTTTATGCACTATTAAATAAATATGGAATTTTACTTAATATCCAACTAGCACCTAGTTTATCACCATTGTTTTATGTCGGTTTGTTTCAAATCACTTGTGAAGAAAAATTAAGCAATTACCAAAATAGGAAATTTTATAAAGTCATTTGTAAACTTTACAACCAAAATGAAGAACTAGTTAAGCATATTATCGCAAAAAATGTTGAACCAGTTAACAGTTTACAGTTAAATAACTCTCAAAATGAGAATGTAATTTTTAATAATCAAGGTAAATTTAAGTAAATTTTACACTGAAACCAATCAAAATCTATAAAAATGCGCATAATAAGTTAATATTAAACTTGTTCCGTCATAATTACTTTATTAGATTCGGTTATGGAAGAATTTGAAGTTACTCTTGACGAAATTGAAAGCTCCCAATCTAATGAAAGTTACGAAATAACAAAAGTAACGAAGAAAAATAATGCACTTCCATGTAAATGTAAATGGACGGATGAAGCCATTATATCCTTACTTTTATACATGAAAGATCATAAACAAGATGTCTCAAAGTTAAAATGTCGTGGTGCTACGGCTAGCCAAGTTAGAAAGCCGCTCTGGATCGGTGCTTCCGCTAAGTTACGCGACATATATACTGCCGAACAGTGTGAGATAAAGTGGAAGAATGCTAAAAAGCAATATAAGGTAAAACTTTTAATAAAAAAAAAAAAATTGATCAAAATTTCATTCATTTATAATAAATTGTATTTTTTTAATTTTTTTATTTAGAATAGGGAAGACTTTAAGTATAAGTCTTACGTCGAAGAAATTCTTAATTAAACGAGAGATGGAGGTTTATATTGTCAGAGGCCAAAAAAATTTTTGTTATTTTATTATAGGGTATTACAATTCCTAAACATATTTGGGAAGATTTCTCGGAAAATCAGGTTCTGAGAAAATGCATTTTAATCTGATAACGTCAAAACCAAAAATGCAATAAATATCTAAAAAAATTCCCGAGACCTGATTTTCCAAGAAATCAACCCATTTATAGTTAGACAAATAAAAAAAAAAAATTGTATTTTGTACTTTTTAATTATAAAGGCTATTTTACACTTATTTGGCGCTTTAAATTATAAATTATAAAATCCATTATATACGTAAACGATAACCATGAGCATCCAAAAATAAAAAGTTTTTTGAAAAGTCGTTTCTATTGTAAAATCCAATTAAGCGTTAATAAATGCTATGCTTAATTCTTATTAATGGTCAAAAATCAGCTCTAAATATTTGGATAAAGTGTTGCTCCTATACATTCATCAATCAAAATATTGTTCTAATTCATGAATTTTTTACAGTTATTACGCTTACGTAATGACTCATCTTACATTATTGATTTCATCCTGATAAAAACACCGCTACAATTCTTGTAGTAATATTATTATGAACGATCTGTTTTAACGTTCGATATTTTGAGATTAAGCCAGAATATACATAGTTGATAAAACTGATAATAATATCATCACCTATAGAATAATTAATACAATTGATGGTCAAAAAATTATAAAGACTTTGATTGTTACACAATACAATATTTGACCTGTGATTGATTGAAGGATTATTTGGGAATTCATTATCTAGAAAAACTAGAAAAATAAAAATTCTGCCAGCGAAGGGAGAAAAGAAACTTTATATAACCATTATGTCTAAATTCTATTCTATTTCATTACCGTGTACACAAATTTAACGTTAGACAATTTTACGTTCTATAATAAACTTTGGTCATTTTTATATTAACATGATATCAGGTCATTTTATAATTGATAAAAAAAGAAAATTTATTGCCATAATTATATTTTTAGATAATTTTAAATGTCTGTTAAAAGTAACGGAATCATTGCTCCCATTGTTTGGAGACCTTCCTTTAATGAATGAAAATGTCACCATTACCACTTTGGGATTTGATCGATCGTTACATTTTTTCTTTAATAATCAAACGTTGCTAATTTTGATTATTATTTCAAAATTGCCAACTAACAGTTATTTTTAGTTCAAGAATAGTATATAAATATAAGTGAAAATGTTAAAAGTTACTTTCAAATTTTTCGCCACGTATTCCAAGATGATGAGTTCAATTCTGCTTCAAATACAAATTAATATTAAACTTGATCCCAGCAATTATCAGAGTATCTTATACAACATTTTATCAACTATCCTTACTACGTTATTGGAATTGTTCATAACTTAGAGGATATACATCAAATAATTTTTTCATCCCCGTCAATCCTTTCGTTCTCTTATATACATGACATGTTTCAAATTAATTGTGAAGAAAAGCTTCCAGATCAGAACAACCAAAATGAAGATATTGGCTTTCATATTCAACAAGAGAACGTTTGGTTATCTAGCTCTCAAAATGAGGATATTAATCAAGGTAATCTTTAAGTAAACTTTGACTAAACTTACATTTCAAAATAAAAGCGCGTAATTAACAGAATAAATGCGTCTGGCTAGGCTGCTTGTTATTAAACTTTTCGTTATTAAACTTTTTTATATTAAAATCCGAAGCTATTCCTGAACCTCTTGATGAAAGTGAAAACGATAAAAGTTATAATGATTCTAAAATAATAGGACATCCATGTAGATGGGAAGAAGAATCAACTAAAATCTTGCTCGCTTATCTGAAAGAAAATAATGAAAAAGTTTTACTACTAGAAAGTCGTGGTATAACAGCTAATAGAGTTAGAGTGACTCTCTGGGACGGTGCTTCCGTTAAGCTGCGCGAAAATAACTACGAATATTCTGCTGAGCAATGCGCGATTAAGTGGAAAAATATTAAACAGAATTATCATGTAAAATTATTTTTCTTTAAGCAAAAAATTTGATTAAAAACAAAAATTTTATTTTAATAATTTTTTTCATTTAGAAACTTTGGTGTAAATCAGAAGTCGAAGAAATTCTTGGTAAAATTAGATTCCAAGAGCCTTGAACAAAAAAAAACGTTAAAATCTCTAATTTAAATAACTTAAGATATTTATTAAGAAAAATGACTCCAATTAATTCGACGTAACTTTTACCAGCAACAACTTAAAGATAGTATTATGGGTCATTTGCTATTAAAATCCATAGTAAATGGCATGAGCCGTCCCATATAATTAATTTACTATAAGTTAAAATTTTAAAACAATGATTATGTTATGATTATCCTATGATTTATGTTTTTAATTATTTTGAAAATCCTATGGTTTTAAAATTGTTTATATGCTAAAAATTATATTATCAACAAATTTACTGTAATCGTTCCTATCATTACTTTTTAAATAGGATATTAAGAATATATAATTAGTAAAGATGATATAGGACCTTTGCAATAGAAAGAGAAAAACTGCTGAAAAAATTTAATTTTACTTTTTATATGCCAAATATGATTTTTAGGTAAAGTTTTAGCATTAACTCATTATTTATCTTCCAACTGTTTCCCCTTTCTATTGCAAAAGTCCCATTTTAATAGTTGCAACTTGAGTATTAACTTTAATTTATTAATTATTTGAAGTGTATGTGTAGGACACTTCCATTCTACTCTATATCATGCATGTGTTGTCTGTCTGCACGCATTATTGTCCAATAGAATCTTAGTTTTATGTGTAATGTATTGCTTTATTTACAATGCTTTTTGTTTATGTCCCTGATCTGTATAACATTTAATTTATTTTACAGCATTTAAAAAAATATTAATAACTTTTTAACATTTATAAAAGAAAATTAAAACTTTTACATTCTTTTTATTTTATATTATACATTGTTTTTAATTGAAATAAAATAATTAAAATATAAATAATAAATAATTGATTTTGCAACGTGATTTCTTTGTAATATTATAAATAACTGAAATTTTTGATTGTTGTGTTGTTGATTTTGTTGATATTAATTGCTTATAAAAATCGTAATTGCAAATGGATTCCTAACCACTTTGTGATACATTACGAAAATGAAAAACAGAGCTGATGAAACTGTTAAATAACATGAAAATAGACAGGCTCAAGATAAAGAGAATAAATGGTTAAAAAAAGCAGCTGAAATTGCAAAATAATGTGAATTACAACTTAAAAAGAATCATAAATATTACCATAAAAAAAAGAATTTTCAAGTTTTAAGAAATATTGATGAATGTTTCAATTTGCAACAGAATGAATCACATACTCAACCTATTAATAAGAGTCACCTTTCTGAATTAGACTGAAAACTTTTACAGAATTTTCACACAAATATTAATAACCTCTTGAATAGGTTTTATTCTATATGTAACAAAAGGTTTCCATCTATTGAACTTATAAAAAAAAGAGTGTCATTATTACTATTATAATAAAATCGATATTAATAATTCAGTGAAAAAATTTTCTGTGGCAAATAACATAGATCTTGATGAAGTTCTAAAGGAGTTAAAAGACCTTACGAAGATAAAAGAGACATTAATAGCTCAAATTTTTTTAATAGTTACAGTATATTGTCTTCGTGGCAGACAGTATATATATTATAAAAATATTATCAATTTTCTGTAAGACGTATTAGAATTCACTACACATTTTCTTCAAAATCTATCATCACTTAATATATTTATTATATGGTGTAAATCTACAAATAGAGAAGCGTTTAGAGATTTTATTGTTCATCGATCTAAGGTTTTACATATACTTTACTAGTTAAAAAATAATAACTGTTACTATAGAGATATTATTATCGATAAAGAATTATTGCAATTGTTACCTGAAAATGATCTAATTGAAGATAACCTTTCTCAAATCAATGATACTAGTAATAACTTTGAAAATAGCAATGAAGGTACTAAAGATTCAATAAGCTAAAAGTTTGTTTCAGCATCTTTTCTCTTACTTAATAAAGAATGTGTATTGCCAACACTCTTAATAGATTGCAAAATAATGATGGTCCTATTATGTGGCTAAAAATAAATGGGAATCCTATCAATGAATTTCAAACTTCTAAGTACATTGTATGTATTGTGTGTGCTTTTCTAATTTTATATTTAACAGGTAGTGCTAACCTTTGGTCAAATTACATTAGAGAAGTCAAGCATGAGAATACTTTTTTCATTTGCTTAAATATAAGAATGGGAGATTTGCTCATCATCCTTACTAACGTTACTTCATATTAAATTCACAGATATATTGAAGAGCTTTGCAGGAAGGTAAAGTATATATAAATAAAGTATTAAATAGTAAACAGCACACCATTGAAGAAATTTGAGAGATGGTAGAAAAGAATAGCTGTATAACAGACAGGGTTGTATAATTTAGTAAAGCCTTACGTAAAAGTTGACAGTTTTGAATAAGAAGAAGATATGAATTAGCTGACATAATCAAATAACTAGGATTTCAAGAATTAATATTTTTTTACATTTAATATTACTGACTTATATTAGTCAGAATTGTACAAGCTTATATCGTGTGATATAGATTTGATATTAAAGCAGCGGTAAAATTTAATCGATACTCCTCATATTGTCATATGATTTTTGAAAAATGGTTTAAGTTATTTCTGGAAAAAGTGTTAATTTCAAAATGAAACTTTGAGAATTAGTGGTTCTGATATGAGTGGTAGCACTGCGATAGTCCTCATAATATATAGCATCAGAAAAAGAAAGGATACTCCTCATATTGATTGGAAAAGAATGAAAGATGACAAAAATCTGATGAATAAAGTGTTGCAATATCTAAACTCATTAATTATTACCATCAATTCTGGTATTGATTCGCCTATACCTGACAAGCATTTCTGTCAAAAATGATCTGATAAAATTTTGATGACTAATAAAATTACATCAAGCTAATTAACAAACTACAATTATATACTAGATGTAATTCTTTGTATTGTATATATCTAGATCATGCTGATCAATCAAATTGCAGGTTTTATTTTCTAAAAAAGGTCACAAAAGATACATATTTATATGATAATAAAGAACATTCTAAGCTAATAACAGTAAAAAATTATCTGTATGTTAACTTTCATAATCACTTATAGCTTTAAGATTAACATGCGAATGTTGACTTAAAACTGATTCTCAATATGAAGACAGCTCTATAATACGTATCTAAATATGCAAGCAAGACAGAACTGAATTTTATGAAATTTTCAAAAATATTAAATAGGGTTCTTAGTAATAGTAATCCAGATACTTCATCTCTGTCTGTTTTTTAAAATCTGTTACTCTATACTGCTAAACATGACTTTACAATACAGAAAACATGTTATATACTTCTTAGTATTCCCTTTTATTATTCCAGTCACTAATTTATTACTTTGAATTTTAATAAACAAATTCATCAATGGATTAGTGGTATAGGAAATAACTATAAAGATAATTTTTTAGCTGATGGTAAAATCAGTCAAATAGTATAGTCACTTTTGCAAAAATATTAGTCTCGTCTCACTGAACTTGAAAATGTTTTGCTATTTGAACTTTACTTAAAATATAATTACTGGAGATATCAGTGAAAACAATGCAAAAATAAAAATATCGTATGTATTTGATCATGATATTCACCTCAAATTAATAGTCTCTAATGAAAAGAATTTTGTTGAGTTAAGGTTCTTCTGTATGTCTATCAATATAACCTTTCTTAGTTAATTAAAAATGATATTATCCTTTAGTTAGAGTTCTATAATCAATATCGTAAAAAAATTAAAAATGAGTTTAATTTACTTGATCCTCTTGTGGATATCTTAGATAGTGAATTGAGTGATAAAGAATCAAATAATGAATACAAAGAACTGGAAGGAGAAGAACAAATGAAACCTGATTGGATGCTTTTATCAGATATAGGATTTAATGCGATTATTGATATTTCTACTGAGTTGGGTTTATAGAATATTAATCTTAATTATGATTGGACTAATAACGCTAGACTACATTATCCTAATATCAATATTGCTGACTTACCTAATTTTATATAACAAGCTCAAGAATCAGGTGTTATTAATACTGATAAATCTACAAATTGTGTTGTAAATTATCAGTCATTAAATGATAACTAAAAAAAAATA